TTTTGATTGTAAAGGGCCGTGTCCCTACTTATGTTTTTGTTTGTGTCTAAGATGGCCATGTGAGACTTAGACTTCCGCTGTGTGTTTTTAAAGTTGTTTTAAGAAGTTTAAATGTGTGGATGTAAATAAACTTTTTATTATTCCGCACTATTTTCATTATTGAATGCAATGAATGACTATGTGGCTTGTATAAGACCCCTTCGGGGTCGAGTACGCCTTGTTACGACTTGGGGGTGCTCCCGGGTCGTGACAGTTGGGCAACCTACGATCAGGTACATGTTTTCTTATGTCAAGGTGCCTAAGATCCAACTCCTTAGCAACGCATCCTTCTCCTCCCAGTCATCAACAATGTTGTTGTCTTCTGCACCCTTCTCGCCTGCTACAGCTTTCTCCGTAGTATGTCCAGTGGAACAGGTACCTTTAGGTGGTTCTGTGATGAGGTAGGTTAATCTCATCACTTGAATCAAATGAGACATTTGTGTCGTCCATATAAGATAGTTTGTTGGTTTAAGTTTAATGGAGCAGGACGAAATAAGATGATGAAGTGAAAAGGTCGAAAGAGTGTTGGTAGAAGAGGCCATTGTGGTTCGATATTGTGGTTGTTTTGATTTTGATCTAATACGTTAAAGAGCGGAAAATCTTTATTGCTCTGATACCATGTAGAATTCCCACCCTAAGTATGGAGAAATCAAGGATTGTATTGATGAAAATAATATTGAGTTACAAGCTCCTTATTTAGGAGTAGAGTCTTATTCTAGTTATACTAGCTAGGAATCCTACTACAACACCAAATATATTATATACATGATATCCAAGTCGACTTTAACCTCCTACACGATATAGTAGTTTAGTCATACATAATTTAGGAGTCTAATCCTAGTATGACTCTAATTCTAACTCGTCAACCTACTTTGATGGACATGTTCCTTCGACATGTTCCTTTCAGGCTTCATGGTTCCTTTCAGGCTCCCTTCAACAACTATGTCAATCAATATTTTCTTAATAGGTGTATCAATTCAAAATGTACAAGTAATTAGGGACACAGAAAATATGTATTTGTAGCAATTGATGTTGTTGTTATTCATGCATCTACCACTTTCTGTTTTTATTTCTGCTCTCATTATGCTTATGTCTTCTTCTTTTTTTCTATAAAATGCAAAAGCATGAAATCATTTGCATATTGTTGTACTATCATTTATATTATTTAGTGTTTAAAAGTCAAATATAAAAGCTTAATTACCATTTGGATTCAAGTTTGATACCATAGCATGCATCGACCCCTACATAAGATTTATATAGTCTCAACACAAGTAGAAATCTTCTATAAAGTGCAACTTACAACAATTGTCTCAACAATTTCTGCGCTATTTTGTCTCAAGCATTTTTGTTTGATTTTCCATTCATATATTGTCGTTGAAAGTTCTAATTCGATAGCTTAGTAGGAGCTATAAAAAAAAAATTAAAAAAAGCCTACCTTAACATCGAGCCCCTTCTTTTGGGATTAGCTCTTTACTTTGATCTTTTTATCAATATTTTTAATACTACAATTTTGAATCAAAATTTGTGTAATTTGCATATTTCCTTCACAACTCAGTGATTCTTTAATTTGTTACAAGGTTGTGAATTAGCTTTGTATGTCAACTTAATAATGTATGTCTTAAATGACATAATATGTATAATGCTAATTTTTTGTTGATGTATTTTGATTTTTTTATTTGAGGTAGTAAAATTTCTTATCGGGTATACAATTCACTTTTAGTTTATTTATTTTTTGTTTATTATACTAAATTGACCTCTTGATTTTGACGTATATATATAAGAAAAAACGTAAATTCATAACCTTTTTCATATTTTATCACTTTGTAAAAAAAAATGATGTGCTTTATTATGACTTTCAGCAAATAGGTTGTTACTTTCATTTGGAAAATACCTATAAAAATGAAGTTAAATATGTTTAAACTAATTTATATATGGATCAATATCACTTGTTTTATATGATTCTATAAAAATTGTTAATATGTTTGACATTTATAATTTTAATCTACTAATTTTTCTAATAAAGTACAGAAAGAAAAATATTAAAACTAATTGTTTAATTCGAATGAATGTGTTTGAAATGATGTTAAATAATTATAACTCAATTTTATAAAAATAAAAGAAAAACACATTTAGTTGTAAAATGAGTCTATATTATTATTTCCTATCATGTATTATTTAAAAATATTTATTTTTTCCCAAAAAAATAAATTAATCAAATTTATATAAATATATTTAATATTGTAATATTGGGCCCATAAAACGGGTCTTTCATTATCTAGTTTCTATTACTTAGAAATGAGAAGAAAGAACAACCAAGGGTGTATTATTCCATAACTAATAACATCTATTATGTCCAATTTTACTATCTTTAGAAAAAACACTTTTGAGATGTTCTAATTACAAAACAATTTAAGAAAAATACTTGAAAGAAAGTCGCTACTTAATTTTTAAAGAAATTAAGAAAACATAATTTAAAAAGGTCTTGGCAGATAAACCTTTAAAAAAATTAGAGAAATAGGTACGAGGTTCTTATTTCTACTTTAAGAATGTATTAGCACTTAAAATAGTTGCTAACACGCAGTTATCCAACAATTTAAATTAAAATATTTGACTAACTTTTGAGAAAATAAGTAAAGATCATTTCTTTATAATTTTGAGAAAAAAAGGAAATATAATTTAAATATTTAAATTAAATTGATAGTGATTAAGACTTCTAAAAGGAATAGATTAAGATTAAAGCTTTAAAAATAAATTACGTAAGAATTTATTTGAATAATTTAAATGATCATAAGTTAAACTAATTTAGTCAATTAAGGCCAAAAAAAAGTTTGACTAAGATATTTGATTAAGTAAAAAAAAATACATGAGTTGATAAAATGGAATTCATTAAACAAAACAACACAAAGAAAATAGTTCATCTTTAGGGGAATTCGACTAAGTTAATTAACAATTCTAAAGTTAGAATTGATTAAAAAAATTAAAAAATTACAATTCAATAATTTATGAGCAAAAGAGAAATCGAATTTGAGCCTTTTCTTGAGCCAAATTCGTTCTTGTTTTTGGGCTTTGACTCAATTTCCATTTTGTATACAAATGATATATATCATTGTATATGACGTATATTATTTACAAATTTGTTGCATATATAGCCCTGAATTTCAGCTTTTGAGTCCTGTGCTTCATCAAGATTGACTAAATAATGGTGTTGGGTTTCATCCCAATTATTATACTGTTCAGAGGCGATAAAAGCGAATCTTCTCACAGGACTGACAATTTTCATTTATAATTCTATAAGTGTGAGACAATTTTAACATATAAATTGACCCATTTTTTTTATGTTTTAATCTATGAGCTTCGATGATCCAACGTAAAGTGAAAAAAATAATTGTTGAATGGCACATCTAATGCCATTATAGCTCCATCAAATATCAGTTATATAAGAATTGAAGTGATCACAAGTGTTGAGGAGCAAGAGTACTGCAAGTAGCTTTGTAAAACTTGTACACATCAAGATCTGACTATTTTTATATTGCACTCATATTGGATAATCACATAATTACTGCAATTTTTTTCTCATTTTGAGAAAAAAGGCGTGGAAGGAAAAGAAAACAACGGAGTTGCTATGCCATTATTTCGAAGCACATCATTCAACACACTTGGATCAATTTCTCGATTTCCAATAGCATGCTTGAGTCATAGAGTATATTAATTAACAATATGCTAGATTATTATAAAGTACAATACTATTCCGTAAATGAAATACACAATAATATGATAGCAAGAGCAAAAATAATCCAGTAATATAAGACAAATGAGAACCACATATCACCACCAAAATAAGTAAATGCAGAGCATGGACTCTAGTATATGAAAGAGTACAACTCTAACATTCATGACTTGATCTACACCGGAGGATATGGACACATTCACTGGTAATGAACCTATATATTTAAAAAAAAAAAATTGTAAATAATCAATATATAATATAAGAATTTTTTTCTTGATAAGTTAATAACGTCAAAAAATTAAATTTTAAACTTTATTTTACTTACAATCATGATCTGCCCAACCAATTCTCTGGTGAGCCAAATCATATACAATGCTCTTATCTCTAAGAGCAATATCTGTGTAACAAGAGAAAGAGATATTTGTTTTAGCTAGTCTACGACTAGAAAGTTAAAATACTGAATTAGGCAATAAAATACGAAAAATAACTACTGTTCAGAAACTAACCTCCTAAAATTGTTAGGCTCAGAGATTTTCTTATCAAGAAAACGCACCACTGAGCAGTATCATTCTGTTGAACACATATAATAGAATAACTTATTTTTGTAGTACATTAAAAGTTCGAATAAAATACAAATACAAGTTCGAATACTCACAAAAAAGCTCATATTGGTGAGGTAGTCTGCTGGTTTTAAGTCCATGGATACACTACCAGCAAAGTGTAGAGTAACTTGAGGAAACAGTTTTGTTACATTATTTGAGGAACTGTTCATCAAGTCACAAAAGAGATTAATTAGGCCGTACTTCATAACTTAGAATAAAATATTCACTTACTGAAATACAAAACATTAACCTGGAAGAAATTAGATAACATGGATTTGTTCCTGATGTGATTGGCTTGGCAGAAGATGAAATAGCGGCAGTTATCTGTAAATATATATGTTAAAAGAAAAGTTAATTAGCATGGAAGTCCCAAGTAACAATGCATGCAGATTTTACTGGCTTGGTGGTATTGAGAGGTTCGAGAAGGAAGCTGCTGAGATGAACAAGAGGTCATTCAAGTATATATGCCTGGGTGCTTGACAAACTTAAGGCTGAACGTGAGCGTGGTATCACTATATTGGCATTGCTTTGTGGAAGTTTGAGACCACTAAGTACTACTGCACTGTGACACAGGGACTTTATCAAGAACATGATCACTGGTACTTCCCAGGCTGACCTCATTATATATTAATTGACTCCACCACTGGTATCTCTAAAGATGGTCAGACACGTGAACATGCATTGCTTGCTGAAGCAAATGATTTGCTGCTGTAACAAGATGGATGCTACCACCCCCAAGGCTAGGTATGATCAAATTGTCCTACCTCAAGAAGCTAAGGTCGATCTACCAACCTGGACTGGTACAAGGGCCCAACCCTCCTCGAGGCTCTTGACCAGATTAATGAGCCCAAGGTATCAGGCTGAAGTCAAGTCTGTAGAGATGCACCACGAAGCTCTCCAGGTGACAATGCTGGGTTCAACGTTAAGAATATTATTGTTGCTGTTAAGGATTTAAAGCGTGGTTTTGTTGCCTCAAACTCCAAGGATGACCCAGCTAAGGCCGGGGGCAGCCAGGCGTGATGCTGGTATGGTTAAGATGATTCCCACCAAGCCTATGGTTGCTGAGTACCCACCATGATGCATTGGGTCGTTTTGCTGTGAGGGACATGAGGCAAACTGTTGTTGTTGGTGTTGTCAAGAATGTTGACAAGAAGGACCCCAACTGGTGGATGAAGTAGTTTTGTTAATTTGCATCAGTTTTTTCCAATTTTGTTTTGGATATGACTACAGAAGGTATTGTCATGGTTCTCTAGCCTCTTTTTGAGGAATTTGGTCCTGACCAAATTACTTGATGGGCAATGACATATAGCTCTGGTGGTTGTTCCTTTACCTGGTTTTATATCACTTTATAATCTTGGTCACTGCTTAACTTTATGAAATTTTGAGTATATTTCCTTCTCAAAAAAAATTACTCCACTTATGAATTTTCCTTACAAAAATTTCCACGTTTCTTAATAGTGCATAATAGCATTAGCATGGAAATATTGTTATTATGGATACTTATTAAAAATGTGAGGAAGAGCATTTACCGCACTGATAACGGAGTCGTACGCCTCTGCGACTAGATGAATCAAGCTCGTACCCGAGTCAAAAATGGTTCCCCGATCTTCATCTTCTGAGGTTTCAAATACGGCTGGATCAATAGGCAAAAGTTTTCCATTCACAGCTATGCTCTGCAAATCCACATTGTAATGGTACCTGCAAGAGTAGATTCTATTTTACATGTACCACTACTTTGAAAAAAATAATACTCGTAATTAATTATACGTACGTTGATGGAACTAGCGGAGTATAGACCATGCTCGGATTCAGAATTTCACCGAGAACTAAAATACCTCCTCCTCCATTGATGCCGCTCTCTCCTTTCAAGCAATGGGAGAATACTTTTGGAGAAATTCCACGCGAAGAAAGCTGAGATATTATTGAAAGACTATGTCGATCAAACCCAATAATTCCATCAATTGCGTTGTCTGTCAGGACCAGACTGCCAAGTTCAGAGGTACTGCACCTGTTTTTATTTCAAATGAACATAATTATAATCACTATTTAACATTCAATTTTGGACCTTCAGTCATAATTTTAGTTAATCAGTAGTATTCAAGTTTCTTGAATTTCAAATAAAATACAAGAATTATTTGTAAAAGGCAAAAATATTTTTCAAGAAGATTTCACCATTTCATTTGGCAAAATTATATAGCTTACATTTATTTTGATTTTCAATCGAAATTTTTTCATTCTTCTTCGTTGTTTTGAAGAAGTCAGAGGTGGAATCGAGTCAAGTTCGTTGAAACCATTTTGGTATCATACTAAGACAAATGGACATCATGTGCCTCTTTGTATTTCAAATTTCTTTAGTCAAAATCAGAGATCTTCTACTCTAAAGGATTGGAAATTTGTTGTATCTTAAGTTTTATTTGAATTATATTTGAGGTCTTCTTCCTTTCTCAGAATTATTAAAAATTAGTTTTCAATTTTTTTAACACTCTTGATGCATAGAATAAGTTTCAAGTATATTTAAATTATTAATTCCTTTATTTATCGGATGTTTAGTTTTATCATATAAATTAATAATCGAAATTGGGCAAACGCCCAAATCCTCAGTCAGCAGTAGCAGCCTGGGCCCTGGAGTGTTCAAACTTGGGCTAGAAGCCCAGATTTCCATTTCTGTTTTCACTTGTCTTTATATTCATTACATTGAAACTGTTTATCAAGTTTATTGTTCGTATAATTATTTATTTTAAAATTTGCTCATATAATTATTTACTAAACCATTTAAATTAGATAAATCTAAGCTCAATAGAGTAATATATTGGAAATATTGCACATCTCTTCATAGTTACTAAGTAGTTTAACCTGATTCCAACCTTGACCTCGACCCGAGACCTAACCTTAATCCTAACCCGAGACCCCAATCTGACCCAAGTCCGACCGCTTTTGAAGAAAATGACAAAAGTAGCCAAATGCGCAAAAACTGGTCAGATCTATTAATCTACAAATTTACGATTGATTTTGTCATATCTAAAATTGAAAAAAGTGGGTACTATACAAGCAAAACTTGAAGGACATTTTTTTGTTTTTTTGCTCAATTGCCTAGACAATGTCTAAGGGTGTTGTATTAACAAAAAAAAAAAGAAGGTCTCAATACAACACACATTTGTAGCTAGTAGCTACTAAGTGATATTATTTTCATCTTTGGCTAATTTCCAAGCTTTGGAAGCAAGGCTCAAGCTATCTACACCAAATCATAATTAAATAAATTATATTACATGTGATTGTGTATACTTTTTCATTTGTAAAGTGAATTTGGACGCTATCAACAATAGATAATGAAAATCGAATTTGTTTGTACATTTTTAATGTATATATATTGTATATAAGAAAAAGAAGGCATTGATAGAAACATAATTTGAACTTTAAAAGACTATATAGATTAAACAAAAAAAATCTTATCTTTCCTTTTTTTCTTTTAAATTTATTCCCCCTCGCATATCAGTTATCATGTTTCTGTTTTACATGTCCTTAAAAAATAAATTAAAAATTAAAAATATTTATTTACTAGTTTACCCTTATCCTATAGATCAAATTATTTGTTAGTTAATTGTATAGGTAGTTTAATTTTTTCGAAAGATGGAATATCTATAGTTCTAGCTTCATGTTCCCTCTTTATGAAGGATATCATTTTTATTTTTATGTTGTAATCGGAAGTTATGGCCAAGTCCCCTATATTGTACTTTCTTTCAAATTCATATAATAGCCTAAAATGACTTGAGAAAAATTCATTAAAAAAACTACTCACCCAAAAATGATTCGTGCTGGAGAGCTAGCGGTTGACGAAGTGCTTAAAATTGTGTCCAGATGCCATACATCGGACACAAAATAGCCTGTTGTACTACTCTCGTCCATGTAACTCAGGGTAAAACCACATTGGTTTGTCCTAGTACATTTGCACCCACGGGTTGAACAAGAAATGGAAATGGCAGTTGTTGAGTTGCCACTATCATAAAAGTTCAGTTTAACCTGCAAAAACATAATAATGACGTTAGAAATTTTTTTAAAAACTAACTTCTATATCATAATTTGTACATGAAACTAACAAAATAACAAGAAAATGAATATATATTTTTACCCCGAGTCCATTGGTCCGAGGACAAGTGTTGCAAGAACTGCATGCAATCCACGAGACTTCGCTCCCAGTATCAATCAATAGATTGTATTCTCTGGGAGGCGATCCCACTTTCACTTTCGTAAAATATATGCTAAAATTATATAAAAACATGAAGAAAAAAAAGTTAGTGAAATACAATGGTCAATAATATTGGTTGTAAAACATTAAGAATGGAAACAATAATTAAAAAATCATTGTATTATATTAAAAATGAGAAAAACTCTCACTGTAAATTTAAATTATCAAAATATTTCTTAAATATTGAACCATTTTTTTTACTCCTCGTCTAAATACCACTTATGTAATATTACTACTAATTAGTAAATTCATTTCAAATAAATAATAACTTAATTAATTAAATGGAAAGTCGTTGGCACGTAGTTCATGTATATTCCAACTACTTATAAAAAATTCATTAATTAATCATCGTCATTCAATTGAAAGAATGTTCATTTTTTAGAAATATTAGATTCTTAATATAATCGATTATTAATCGTTATTTAACAAATATTAAAAGGTATTTCTATAACATTCTGATTAACATTAATTAATACTAATTCTGGTAAAAAAATTAGTATAAAAAATATTAAAATAACCATCAAAGAACATAGTGCATCACTACATTGAACGGTGTTGCTCCTTCCTTTATTAAATATCTTAATTTTGAGTTTTGGATATGAAACAAATTCTTAGTAGGAAGCACTATATTCGAATGGACCCTATTTCGACGCACATTAGAATTAATCGAACTCTAATATGAATAACGAATACTGAATAAAAAATATTAAATTAAATTAACCCAATAATATTTTTAAGTATAATTGGTATTAACGATGGGTAGATTCATTTTTAAGTTGTAAAACACTCAAGTCTAATATTTAATTTATTTATTTATTACTATAATGCCACAAATTTATTAGGATCCGAAGTAAATTTGTCTGTTAGATTGAATTATATCTTATATAAAAATCATGAATCATTATGTATTATCATTTTGAAATCTATCTTATTCATTTCAATTAATCTGTCATATTTTTCTTTTTAATCTGTTAAAAAGAAATGTTCCTTTTCTTTTTTTAGTTCCAACTCCACAGAACATATTTAAGATCAAAAGACATTATATTTAATATATTTCACATATTTTTAATTTAAAACTATAAGATTAAAAAATCTTGCTTAATTTCTTAAACTTCATTCCCAAGTCAAAATAGAACAAACAAATTGAAATGGAGAGATTAATATTTTTTTATTTATCACTCACACCTAAAATTTAGGACTAAGAAGCATGTTTCATTATCACATGAAGTTCAATATATGTATAATTTATCTACATATTTTTTTTTAGCATGATACAATATATATTTTTTATTATCTTTTTTCATGCACAATAAGTTTTTTTTTAGCAGGAATAAGTATTTTTGTTATTTTTATCAGTTTTAGTGAAAAAATTGCAAACAATCTCAAAACATAAATGCATTTTCTCTTCTTTTTTTTTCTAAAAAAAATCTATTTAGAATTTAATGTTAAATTAACATGATATTTTGATACATAGATCATTACATATCTATTGATTTTCTTGCCCAAATATTTTTATCTTATTCTAAAATTTATTCATAATTTTTAAAATTACTATTAGGCATTTGCTATTTTTTTTCATCTCTTTCTAAATATTAATCTACTTAAATTTATTTACTTCTCTAATTAATGTATTGATTTTCATGTGTTTCGATTCTCAATTTCTTATTTGAGACAAAAGAGTAGCAATATTAAGTAAATAAAGTAAACAATCTACTATAATTAATTAAATTTTAGTCTGCTTAATCTTAAAATTTAAATTATTCTATTATCAAAATATTCTTATCATCAATGTACGTAAATTGAACACGAAGAATACTTATCATTTCTCTTCAATGTTTGATTCGCAAAATTTTAAAACTATTTATTTTAAAATTTAGTGAGACTCTTAGTTTACTTTAATTTTATCTATCCATTTTATTTATTAATTTTTAATTTTATGCTCCCTAATTAAAATATTTTTATTTTCATTTAATACATTTTAAATCATGATTATTTCTTTTTATATTTATTTCAGTGCAAAAAGTAAAGGTGTTAATGTAATATAAATTGAATTAAAAATGGGTCCCATCATTTTTAGATAGTACGGCTACTTGTGATATTTTTATGCTTTTCATGATAGGAAGTACATGTAGCCATCATAATTATAGCAGTTTGGTTGGTTATTTAGAAAATTCAATAATTTTGCAGCAGAAAGTACAACGGTTTTAAGTTGATAATTTTGATAAAATGACAAAAGTGTCCTTGATCGTCCTCCTTTTCATGTCCCTATATAACGTATATAAATAATTTTACCTTATACAACTCATGCCCTAAGGTGCATAATGAGAATTGCACTTTCTTGAAAGTGTTTTCATTTCCGTGCAATTATCTATCTATATATATAAGGAGAAGAAAAAATGCCTACATGTCAGCGCCACAAAAAAAGAGAATTTAATAATTGTTAAATTAATTTAAAGTCTAAAAAGAAAAAAGAAAAATTGCAAACACTACAAAAATAAAGAAAAAAATCAACAACCAGTTTTTACAACTTTATTTAAAATTCCAAAATTTAAAGTTATCTTAATTTTTTACTGTTTTTTAAAATGATTTAAAAGTAGTTTTTACAACTAAACGAGAAACAATTTTAAAACAGTTCGAAAAAATAGGATGAATGATTCTTTTTTTGTGGAATTAATTATCTGTACTTTTTTTAGATATATAATCTTTAAAAATAAAATAAAACTATAAAAGGGGTTTTAAATTAATGTGGTATAATTAGATAAACGTCATCCAATTCAAAAAAAAATTACTACCCACGTTTGCCAAATGCAGGAAGACCAAACATCAAATTAACACATTTTACAACTTACTTAACTTAAGAGTATAAAATTTACGTAAATTAACATGACTTTAAAAAGGAGAAAAAAAAAATATTGTCACTTTAATTATATCTCTAAATTTTTCCAATTAATTTTCTTTTAAAAAAAAACGTTGTTCATCAATCATTTTAAATAAATAAATAGTAAAACTGCCCACTAATTAAAAGAAACGCTTATAAAGATATATTTTATTTTTAAAAAAAATATAACCGATTCTTTAAATTAAGTAACCAATTTACGTATTATAAATTATTATTATTTTTAAAATGAAAAATTAATAATTTTTGTATTTGAATTTAAAGTGATTATCTAAAACTGCACTATCATTACCTCTTTTCTCTCTCTTATAAATACACAATTAAGAAATTTCAGAAGTCAAATCCATCAATGTTTTCAGAAATATATGCAGATTGATAATTCGGCACAATTGGATAAAGATATATTTATGGATATTGCTTTTATCCATTTGCTGATTTTATATTTAGTTTGATTTTTGTTTCAGATTTCTTGGGACTTAACATTATTTTTGTAGATTTTAAAAATTTATTCGGCGTATGATTCTACAGAGTGATGAATATCTTTTTCCTTGCACTTTCTCAACATATATTATGTAATCATTGCAATTTTTCATATTAATTTTATTGATTAGTTTGCAAGTTTAAGATATTCATTCATATGATCTGTACCACTAATATATTTTGATGAAATGTTATCACTAATTTAAAATGAGAGTTCACTAGAAGAAGAAACTCATGAGAAGTCTGAAAGTATTATATCCATAAAATATGTTTGAATAGAGTATGAGAAGTTTGAAAATAATTTTAATTATCTGTCGTGTTTTTATTTTTTACAATTTTTTTTTAAGTTTGCTGATTTCCTTATTCAAATACAAATATGTATTATATATTGTTTTATGATCTTGCATGATTATTATATACCAGTGATTGGATTTTTTTTTTGACAAAATAAGAAGTTAAATATGTGATTGGATATTATCACTAACTAAAAAAAAATCGAGAAGAAGGAGATACATATAAGGATGTTGAACACTATACTCACTTTATGGAAGCATTACATTTCATCTTGGTAAATCAATTTAAGTAAAGCTTAATCAATGAAATTTTTTGTTCTTTTATAAACCGTTATATCAATTGAATCGTGCATATAAATTTAAATAAAAAAATAACAAATAACTTGACAATTTCATGTCATGTCATATGTGTAGTAAAAGAACTATATAGATTGTGGTTTGTTAGATCGTCATGTAATTTTTGTTCACCATCTTATTTGGAGATTCAAGTTTAAAAAAATCCTAATCTATTTGGAGCATATTGGTGTTATGAGACGTATTTTAAACACAATGTAATGACTTCTTTTGTTTCTTTCTACTAACAATAAAATTTAAACGTGTGTGATATTTTTTTTTTGGAAAAATATTTTTAACTATCTTTCCACAACCTTCTTATTTATAGCAAAACAGTGATAATATTTATAATATAATAAAAATAATAATCTTAATTATTAAATTAAATAAATTAATTTAAAATCCGAAAATAAAAATTAAAAATTACAAATATAAAAGGAAAAAATTGAAAAAACGTAAGATTATTTTTTAAACCATAAAAGTAACCAACCCACCTTTTTTTTTTGAAAAA